CCCCCCCCGTTGTGTCTTTGCGGGAAGCGTTGAGATTTATCCACTGCAAGGATTGTGTTTGTAAAGGAAGGGCTGTAGCCCAGTTGGGTGAAGCACTTGCTTTGTGTGCAGGTCTCAGCCTTTTGTCATTTCCAGGTTGGACAGGAAAAATCCCTTTATCTGAAATCCTGGCGAGCTGCTGCCACTCAAGAGTAAATGGGCCGGTAAGTGGTGCTCGGCTGCTCTGTAAGTTCCTGCACACAGATAATCCTTTGCCAACAATCATAGAGCAATCAGAGGAAAGGTTCAAGTGCAGCCATCGCTCTTCCATGCGAGGACATTCAGCAGTCAGTGCTAGGAGATCTCCGTTGTTGGGAATTATGACAGAGCGAGCCCTTTGTCGGCTCTGGGTAGACTCGCCCTGTTGCTTTTCTCATAGAAGCCAGTGGCTTTCTTCTCCCAAGGAAGAGGTATGCGGAGATCTGTCTTGTAAAATGGGCGTGGGGACCCTTTGGCCAAGGGGCCAAATCCAGCCTTCCCAAGACCCCATGTTCCTCAGAAAGCCAGGCCCCTTTACCCATGACATCATCATTTGGCCTTTTATGGATCGTATGCTTTTCTTGTCTGAAAAGGTTGAAATGCCTTTTCCCAAGACTTTCCTTATCAGCAGCTGTAAATTCAAAGTGGGAGGATTTTTTTTTTGGCTGGCCTCTTTTCATTCAGCCCTGCCCACAACTGGAATTTAGTCCTTGAGAATTCCTCTGATAGGAAGGAAGCTCCCCAACCTGGCTGGGTTTCCATCAATGTCCTCTGGAGAGCAGCAGAAACTGGCACACAGCTGTGGAGGAACGCCAGTGTTGTGGATTTTCTCTCTTTCTCCCCAGCCTCCGCTAGCTGCTGTGTGCAGACAGCAAAGGGAGCTTTTGGAGGACTTGGCAGCCCTTTTTGCCTCATCCTCATAAAACCTGGAACAGCTGGACAGCTGTGTGGCCGGAGATGCTCGTTCTGCATCTGATACTGGGCATATCTGAAGTATGAAAAGAATAAAATAAAAGCGGGTTATGTGCATTTTAGCACACTCATAAGTTTTATACATTGTATGTACTGACTTATTTCTTTAGTTTTATATGTGTGAATTGGCGTGTGTGTGAGTGTGCGAGGTGCTGAGGGTGATCTCAAGTGAGCACGACAGCACTGTGATGTCCACGGTTGCAGCATTGGTTCTTGGATTAATCTCTGCAACAGATCTGTGAAAATAGGGGGATGTGCAGAGTCTGCTATAGGATAATAGTCTTTGAATAGCAAAATTCTCACGGGTTGGGTTTTAGTTGCTTTCTCTGGCGTTAGATTTGAATGTTCATTTTGCTTTGATTTTCCTAAACGCAATAAGAAGTGGTGTCTGTGAGGAATGAGTGTGCTTACATCAAACCACCATTTGAAGAGGTCATCAGATGCAGACATTCCTGTATATTTTATCCCCATCTGCTGCCCTGCAGAGGCATTGCACTACCATGCTCATCATCCCTATTTTGGGTTGTGGGAGTTGTGGTCCAGTGCATCAGAGACACAAGGCTTGAGAAAGCTGTTCCTTGCAGTCGACTGCGTGAGTGGTTCTGTGTTTGTGTAGGGGGTGAAGGGTGGGTGGTACAGTCATTACAGTTCTTTTCCCCAACAGCAAACCTGTTCCTACCTGTTAAACTCATCAGTTGTATTTCTGTCACTTCTTGGGATGTTGTTCTTACCTGTTAAACTCATCAGTTCAGTTGTATTTCTGTCACTTCTTGGGATGAGGTTGTTCTTTCGAGCAGCTAGCTCGGAACCTCAGTGATAATTGGTACCTTTTGTGTTGCACAATCCATTTTCTGTCCTGCTGGGCAGTCGCACTATGGTGCAAATGTTCCAATTTGTTTTAATCTCATTTTTAATGCTGGCTACCCCCCCACACACACACACATACACCTTTTTGGGGTATATGTAGTGTTGATTCAGCAGTAAAGGTTATGTAATACGTTTCAGTGGGTCACTGACTGCTGATGTCTGTCTTTTAACGGCTTATTTTATCATGTAAATTCAGTGATGCCTTGCAAGACGAAATTCATTCATTCCGCGAGTCATGTCGTAGTGCGAAATTTTTGTCTTGCGAAGCGCAGTACTAACGATTGTGCGATTTAAAATGAACCCTCAAAATTTTTTTAAAAATCATCTTTCGAAGCATGGCCACAGAAAAATTCGTCTTGCGAGTCACCAAAAAAATCGCAAAATACTTTTATCTTGCGAGTTTTTCATTGCGTGAGGCATTCGTCTTGCAAGGCATCACTGTACCTTCTAGTGCTTCCTCTTGTCACCCTGTCTTACTAATACAAGACATCACCCCCAAGGCTTCAGGACAGAACCATCTGGTGGAAGGGAAAGTGTGCAGTTGACTTATTCTTACAATCAAATCAGTAGCAAGCGAGTTATGACATTCTTGTTGTGAATAATGATTCGGGAATGCTAACATTTGGTGTGGATGGTGGGCCTGTTTTTAGTGCACTCCCCTGCCTCTCCAGCAGTGGCAACCTTTTTTTGCCTGCTCATCACAAGGTGCTGAAGGCCACACCATACATATAGCCACCATGTGGAAAGGACATTTAGTTTGGTAGCAGTAATGTTTACTGATGACAGTTGTATATGTTTGAATGGATCCATTGCCATGAAGAGAGATCGCATGGTGAAGATTCGTTTTCCTCTCTCTCTCTCTCTCTCTCTTTGTGGTGAAGATTCCTTTTCCTCTCTCTCTCTCTCTTTTTGTGGGGTGGTAGCAAGTAGTCTAAAGCTACGTGTTTTAAACTCTCACTGGGTACTGCTGGATAGCTTAGTGGCTTAGGTCTTTGGCTGTGGATGGGGGTAGCAAGTAGTCTAAAGCCACGTGTTTTAAAGTCTCACTGGATACTGCTGGATAGCTTAGTCTAGGCTTAGGTCTTTGGCTGTGGAGCCAGAGGTTGGGAGTTTGATTCCCCCATTGGGCTGAACTTGATGATCCAAAGGGTCTCTTCCAGCTCTGCAGTTCTAAGACTATTATTATTATAATTTTATTGCAAGCAGTCTGAATAGAGATGATAGGCTTCTAGTTTACCTTACAGCTAGACACACTAGGCTTACTCTGACCAAAGCTGAGCATCCAACATGCTACTCAATTTGAATGTGAGTTTTAAGCAGAGGCTGGAAACATAACCTTTTCTGACTACAGCTCCCGGACTCCCTCAGACAGCATGGCTGTCTTCAGGGTTCTGGGCGTTACAATTAAAAAAAATATTCTGAGTTCTGATGTCAATGGCATGCTTAAGTCTTTTGCTGAAATAGTTGAGGTTTCCTGCAAAGTTTTGTTCTCAGAGTTTGACTACAACTCCCATTGTCCCCAGATAAAGTGGCCAGGGAAGCCGGAATCTGACTGCTAAAAAAAATCCCAGGTTGAGAGAAGCTGGCTTCACGATTGGACCCTGATTATTTTCCTTGTTGCTCCCTTCAGTACTACATCATTGCGTGTTCGCCCCCCTCCCCCTCAATTCTATTTTGAACTATGAAGCTTGGGCATCATCTTTACCAAAATGCCGTGTGCTGTCTTGGATCTGTTTGCAACGGGCTTTTGTTCTTAATGGAAAAAGAATTCTTAGCACTTTGTGAACTCGGCCGCCTTCGGTTTCAGCAATGTCCCCCTTGAATAGAATGGCCAGATGTTCAGAAACTCCTTCAGCAGTGTGATGAGGTGCTAGGTCCAAGCCCTGCAACTGGAGCTGACCTGTATTGAACCAGGATATTATTGGCTGTCATCTATGAACCAGTAGGTGTCACAAGGCAATCTGGACTTAGCGCGTGGTTTAGGGCAGTGGTCCCCAACCTTGGGCCTCCAGATGTTCTTGGACTTCAACTCCCAGAAATCCTGACCAGAGGTGGTAGTGAAGGGTTCTGGGAGTTGTAGTCCAAGAACATCTGGAGGCCCAAGGTTGGGGACCACTGATCTTAGGGGAAGTGAGCCGGGGTGCTGAGCAACTAAAAAAACCAAGTGACGGTAACAAGAGAAACGCAACACTGATTTAATATAGTGAGCTCCATGAATTTCATTTTATTACAATCAAGCCTGATTTTGACTTCTGTGTGTTGAAATAAATGTTTCCTTTGTATGAACTGTGCAGGCAGTGTGCGCACTAGTGCGCATGTGTATGCGTGCCAGTGTGTGTTCTATTTCGATGTATCTGAGGATAGTCTTATTTTGGTACGGAGGTAGAGTTCCTGTTCTCGGTGGGGACCTGGATTTTGTTCCTAAAATATATTTTGTATTGAGAAGTATGTTCTGTGCAATTCCGATTCCTTTCTTTCTTGGGTTTTCTTTTAACCAAGTGGATCTCATGCCCACATGAATCGTCAGGCTGGACTCTGATCTGCCCCCTTCCTTTTTTTGGAGAGTGAAGAATGGGCATTGCCAGCCAACTGTGACTGAGTGCAGGAGGACGTTAGCAAGACATGGAGGGTAGGGTCATTTGCACAGAGTGCTGGTGTGATTGGGAGGTCTTAACTTTCCCAAATAGATTTGGTGGGCAGCTCCGTTTTGTTGTTGTTGGATTTTTTTTTTTAATTAAAGCTGATTTCTTCTTGTAGGAAGAACCTCTTCAGACATTCCCATAGGC